GTGCACGTACATGTTTTCAAAGACACAACAATACTGAATGCTGCAAAGACTTACAGATTTTTGATTTTGTCAGTCAAGGCCTATATAGCATAAAAAGCCTTGAGTTACCATAAATAGTAATAAAATGTTAAGACCTCTTTGAATGTTTCCTTTATTTCCCAGATGACTGGTTAAGTTTCCCCATTCGTCTCATGGAGCAGGCCTTGTCTTACTTTGTTGTCTGCGTTTTTGTCTTTTTTGTGTTATACACTAAATGTGCCGGATAGCTATTGTCTGGTTTTAGGGCTAGCAGCAGATCACCCTTCCCTGTCTTCTACAGCCTTGGGGAAACATAAGCATCCGTGTGGCTCTGTGGTGAATCACATCGGGGAACCAGGCCAGGTTATAAGTATACAAGCAAAAAAAGTGAGTTTTCTGTTAGATCAAGCCCTCCTTCTCATCTGTCTCATGGCCACAAATGTCCTGTACGCGCTCTCGATGTCTTGACAAAATGTTGAATCAAGTTCAAGGCCATGGATATCTACAGTCAGCCACCTGGCCCCTATCGGTCTCCCACAGACTCCCTAAACTGGCCTCTCAGTCTTACTGCCTGCTGCCTCACCCATCTGATCTTAGCTGCTCACTGCGTTTCTGCTTATAGTTGGGGTTTATCCTGAAGACGGGCTTGATAGTTTGGGATACAGTTTTCTTGGTCCTGAATTCAGGCTCTTCCTTTTCTCTTCCCTGCTTTACTGTATCTTTGGATTCTGCCTGCTGCTGTAGAGGCTGTGGTTCCTCACCAGAGCTTTCCCCTGGTCTTGCACGCCTTTGGCTCTGCTTCATCGTATGGCCTTCCTGACATTTAGCGTGGTCTTTGACCGTCCCGTTGCCTTGTTCTTTGGACTAGCACATTCCTCTGGCTTCTCTGGTTGTTGGCATCTGATCCACAATTAGTTTTTTCTCCATTCCTGCACTGAATATTAACCACTTCCACCTTGGGAGACACGCGGTGACTGTGGTGTAGCTGGGGAACTGCCTCAGGAGACGGTGGCTGATACCAGCCTTCCCCTGATGTTCTTCTCAGGAGGTCTCTTGTGCGACCAACAACTTCAGGCTTCTCTGAGGCCATGATTCGAGCACATCATCTTTGTGACTGTTTAATGAACGTACATAGCGCTATTTAGAGGTGGGGGGAAGGGACCCAAACCTACTGGCACAAGGCCGGGAGCTTGGCTCTGTAGCCAAGTGCCCTCTGACCAGGGACACCTGGCAAGGGCGCGGCCGTCCCCTCACCAGGCGGGTCCTGCCACCCCAAGGGCCGCGCTCAGCCCTCGCGGGTAAGTGGGAGCCACCGAACGCAGGGCTTCGCGGGGGGCCCGGGGCGGCCCGGGCA